CAATTATACTATCCACGGCTACAGTGAGAATGCCTCTTACCTGCCTTTAGTCGTTCTATTTCACCATAAAGATCCTTTATCAAAGTAGATTTCATCATTTTCTGGTTAACCTGTCAAGGAGAAATATACAAGAGTACGAACATGAGTTCTTGTTTTCCAGTGGTTGGTCTCATGGAAACAAAAAGAAAGAAAATTGATGAATGAAAAACTTTTATAAAGACAATACCTCTGGTTTGTTCCTAATATGCTTTGCCCTGTGTGCATAATCTAGAGTACTTAAGGTTTCCTCGAGACAGTGAACAGCAGGTGAAACTGTTGCAATGATACATGTCTTCGTTCTCCCACCAAGTGAATCACGTAGTAAGCGGGTGAGCTTACTATCCCTAGAAAGAAATGCAAGATATATATGATTCAGCATAGCTTGAAACAGTGCTACATGAACACTAACAGAGAAAAAAAAAACAGAAAACGAGATTAAACCTGTAAGGAATGTGTCCAAGATGTTCTACCAAAGCACTGATAACTCTCCCTAATGTAAGAAGACTTTTGTTTATTTCACCAGCTTCTCGAGCGCGGCCCTAGATAGAGAAAGGCTATTAAGTAAATCTGAGATATTAAAGACGAGGAAACCGCTCCAACTCAAATGAACATTAAGGGACTACTTACATCCCTAGCTCCAGAACGTGATATATTTTCTGATCCTGCCAAGTCAACCAAGTTCAGCTTGCCACACTTGATTAATTCTTCACCTTCCGGAGTAGCTTCTTTGATATGTATTGTTATTGAGAAGAGAGAATGTGACCGACTGAAAGCAAAGAATTCCGTTATGTAGGAGAGACCTTGATATCAAAACTGCAATGAACACAAACATCAAAGAATATCTTACCTTGATTGTTTATTCAAGAATGTTTCTGCAGTTCGCCGTTTAGAGGAACCTCTCTCAAGCAAAGTGAAGATTTCACTAGCACTAGTCACGATTTCCTCTTCCAATCCTCTAACCAGAACACCACCTTTGCCATCCTCCATGAGAGGTAAAGGTTTCTTTTGTTTATCTTCAGTAACAACTCTGGATATATCCTCAGGAGCAAGTAGATCGGTAATCTCTTCATTGTAGAGTTCCAAAAACGTGACTTTAACACTGTACTCAGCTTGCTGGCCCTCAAGAGTATCGAAGATTTGCTTCACAGCTCTAGGTATAACACCTGCTTCTGCTGGAAGACCTCCACTTGGCCCGCCCTGTGCCAATCAAAATAGAGGTAAACAGCTCAGCTTAGGGAATATTACCAGCAACACAAAAAAAAAAGAACTCTGAAACAAAACACTTACCTTGGACCTTCTACATTCTCCTTCCATTGTATACGTTTTCCCCGTACCAGTCTGACCATAGGCAAATATAGTACAATTAAAACCTTCAAGCACTTCATTCACAATGGGAACAACAGCCTGGTCATACAAATCCTTCTGTTGTGCTGATGGTCCAAACACCTGTGTTCACCAACATATAATAAACACGGATTCAGAAAAGAAAAAAAACACAGTCGTGACTACTGAGATCCAAAGCATACACTTTGACAGGCTAACTGGTTGTTGGTCAAGTCACTAAGCAAATCCTACACACACTCAAAGAAACTTCACTGGACTAAAACACTTGTACGACTTTGACTAATCCCCCTCGTTCACTATACTAAGAAAGCAAATAGTTAAATTTGAAGTTGTAAACAACTCTCTTTCAATAAAAGTAAGCTAAGATTCAGGCAATTTCAAGAAACAAGCTAAATGAAGGAAAATTCAATAACATAGAAACATCACTACGGATCCTCAAGAATCAGGAAAAGTTGTACCTTATCGAAAGTGAAAACCCTATCAATGTGCTTCCCGGCGATGTTTTGGGAGACAGCAACTTCTCTTTGTAAATCGTTACAAGTGAGAACCTGAGGAGCATTATTCCTCAACTCATCATCGCTAAATGGCCTGTCAAACCAAAGAACAGTGTGAGTCTACACAGTAGCGAAAACCTCCAAAAGCTAATTCAATCAGAAAAAGTGCGATTCGACCCTAAACCTAACTTACTCAAAACCCTAATTTCAATTTCGAGGATTTGGTACCTGCATCGGAGAAGAACTTGGACGTTAACGCCTTTCTCTTTATCGTGACGGCCGGACATTTTTACGCGGCGGAAGGACGGTGAATCCAGAGATACTGATTTCAAAAATCTGATGTTGTAACTCAAAGGAAGATCTCTCTCTTTTTCTGTCTTCTCCTCTTCTCGCCGGCGACGGGATCTTTAGTAGAGAGAGAGAGAGAGGTGTGTGATTGGGATTTGAGATTTGAATTATTTGAAGACGCGCTCCTCTTTTCGAAATTAAATTAACGTCTGTTCGTATTGAGTTAAGTTACTATATTACCCTCTCCTTTTACGTGCCGACGATAATGATAGGCCTTTTAAATATCCAGGTCCATAACTTACTAATCAGCCCATATGGCTTTTATGGGGAGAAGTTCAATGTTATTCGATCTAGGGAGTAGACATGTGTGTTACTCAAAGAAATTTAGAAGAATAAAGATGATTTAGCCTAGGATGTTGCTTGCTATCTTAAGAACAACTAGAATTTTGACCGCGCTTAAATCATATAAAAGCGCTAGTACTATTTTTGTTGTTTTATCTATACATGGATCGATAAGTATTTTGTTTTGATGATACAAAATGTGACAGAATCAAAATCCAGTTATCATGCGGATATGAAGAAATTTTTATTTTACAATGTTTCAAACAAATTTGTATGTTTCTAAATATATTAACAATGGTTGTATCTCAAATTTATACTTGAGAAAGATTGTATATTTAAGATTTAGTTACGAAATTTTACTATCTAATATATTTTTTAAAATTAATGCAGATTCTAATTTATTATTATCATTAATTTCTATGTAAATGTATTATATATAATTGTATAGTTTTATTTGGGAAAAATAATATCAATTAAATAGGCATGATGTTGGGAAGCGGGTCAAACTGGCTTCGTCCGATCCGTTCTGTAGCGGGTTGAATCATTTTTACGACTCAAAAATTTGACCAGTCTGATCTGCAAAAAAAAATATTTTTTCAAAAAAGAAATTTATAAACTCATTATTATATATTTTTAGCTCTAAATAAAAATGACAAAATTGCCAATAATAAAAAATTAAATTTATATATAAAAATAAAAATATAATTAAAACCATAAAAAATTCATTAAACAAAATGTTTCTGTTTTTATGGTATTGATTACAAAAGAAGGTTATATTATATATGTTTTGTTAGTCAGATCAGTTCATTGCCGCAAGAAAATATTGATCGTTGCTTTTTATTTTTCTCAGTTCCTTGTAAAGGTTGTCTACGTATCAAGTTAGAGCATCCACATTGGTGAACCCCATGGAGGTTCACCAAAAAAAAAATTGATTTTTAAATTTTTTTTTTGTTTTTTTTTTTAAAAAAAGAATTTCGGATAAATAGGATGTCGCCACGTGGCGAACCTCATGTGAACCAGGTTCACTGCCATAAACTTTTGAGAGAGAGGTTCACTAAAATAATATTATTTTAATTTTTTTTTTTTTGGGAAAGGGGTGAACTCCTCCTATGAGCCTCCAGTGGAGATGCTCTTACATCCAGGGGCGGACGGACGTTGCCGGGTACGGAGTCACGTGACACCTACTCTTTTTAAAAATTTCTTAGGTAATATGAGTTAATTTGATTGAATTGTTCATAGTTTAGTGAAGAAATAGGTATAGTACTCCTAATTTAGAATTTTTTTGTTATATTTAACATTGTGACCTCAGCTAAAAATGTTTCTATATCCTAAAGTACTCTTCATTCAGAATGCATATTGTTATTTTTAACATTGTGACCCCAGCTAAAAATGTTTCTACATCCGCCCCTGCTTACATCCTCTGCTATCTTTGCTTGCGTTTGTTTAACATTTCTGCATCCTCTGCTATTAGTGTGTGTCTGTAATGTCTGTAAAAAAATTCAAAAACTTTGGTATAAAATCTAAGTTTATCCCAAAAAAAGTTTGTCAACGTATCAAGTTACTGTAATGTTTGTATGTGAAACAAAAAAAGACTAAGCTCGGTCCTATAATTAAATACTATGACAAAAGATATTCTTTGTTGTTCAGTTAACACTAAGAATATCCGGATAAGTAGTTTTCCAAAGGAGTTTCTTACCAAAATCTATATTAACACTTAATCTTTCAAGTGTGAACATAATATTTTATTCATATTTTGACAATAAGTTGAGAATTTTTGGTGATGCATTATTTCAAAATACATAAGAGTTTTGTGTTCAAACCTAAAAACTGAATACCAATATAATTTTTTGATAAAATACTATTTTGAGAAAATTTGGCAGAAGAGCATCTACGTTGATAACTTCTCATAAGAATTTTTCATCAGAAATAATAATAAACAAATAACAAAGTATGGGAGAGGTTAAAAAACTGAAATTCGTCTTTCATTTGAGAACTGTAAAATATTGAGAAATTTTCAACTCTTGTGACTTTCTCTTGTGTACCATTATTTTAAAACATTAAATGTAATCATACTGGATCATTTTTAAGTATAAAATCTTATTTTAAAAATTCATATCCAGCGATAATAATTATTGCGTTTAAGTTTAATTTTATGAAAACCTATGAAATTTTATATTTATATTTCATAGGTCAACTAAATACTAATATATATTTTCGATGAGAATCTCTTGATGATGCTCTAAGAAATGTAACCTACCTTTATGTAAATATGTAATTGCTCTCTCTCATTACCATCTCAATGTCACAGATTCGCAGTCTCAGTCTGTCGACGTTTCAGACAAATTTCTGACTCAACCCACCAACATGTTTTCACACAAACATCCAAACATGTTTCTAGCATAAAACGACCAAACATTCTAAAAGGAACCCCAAAAAAATATGTTTTGAGTTTGCCCGAAAAAGAAATTATGTATTGATATATTTTTTTTTTTGGAACAAATATGTATTGATATCTAAATAGTTATTTCCACGAGAGAAAAAAAAATTTCCACACCACGCAACAAAGGGGTGTTGGATAATGTATTACATCACAAATTACACAATCAGTACTATAAACAGTTATATATTTTTCATTAAAAGAAAAAGACCTAAGCAATAAAGTTTTATCAAAACGATAGAAACCTTAACAACGTCTGGAAACGTTCTTTTATTAACTAAAAAATCAAAGAAACTCCTCAACACAATCGCCGAAGTGGAAGCTGCTGTTACAAGACTCGATGGCGTTAACAACGTCTTGGAAAACGGACAGGCTACAAGGGAGAACCAACATAACCTTCTGCTCGAAACAGTGTAACTCGTCGTATGACTTGTCAAGTAACATCCTGAAGAGAGGATGATTCAGATAGCTCGTTGGCACCACGCGTCTCACGCGCTCTTCCCCTACGTACACCGCACAAGATCCCGTAGGCGTCTTGGCCGCCAACGCAACCGCTGTGGAAGACGTGTCGTCTGCCTCACCGATCAGAGGAGACTCGGAACCGTATTCTCTCGTGTTAATGCTGTTCACTCTCTTGGCTAAGTTCTTGAAGGAAGCTATTCTTTTCCTCATCGTTTTCCTATTAATATTGTGAAGATGATCAACTAGGAGAAGAAGAAGATTGTTGGTGATTATATACCAATATTACTTGTATATATAACAATATAATAAAATGAAGACTTGCGAGCTTTGGACATCTTATTTTTATTTTCGATTTTTGTTTGTCTGTGTTGACTTCTAATAGTGGGGTGCATTTCTTGGCGGAGAGAAATGTATTTTATCTATACTATTAAAGCAGGATCCTATTGTTAAAATTTTGGATTCTACCCCTAAATTTTTATCACATTTATAAGATAATACTACTATTTATTTTTAGAATCTTAATTAATTAAAAAAATTAATATCTCCTATAATTATGGTAAGTGATAATATTTCCTATTTTTGTGATTAATAATAATTTTTCTTTTATGAAAATTATGATTTTCTATTTAATTTTAATATCATATTTCCGTGCATCATATTATTTAGCGATCAAAATTATAAATTATTATTTACTGTTTTATTTTATCCATAATAATGATATGTCAATTCAATTTGTTTTAAAATCTAAATTTTAGATATAAAATGAGTAAAAATGTAAACTTATCATAAGTTATTAATAACGAAAAGAGACTAATATTGTTATAGAATAAATTGTGTTTTTTTTCTATTAACATTGTTTCATTTTTTTCAAATGACAAGAAAGTTTTTATTAAAGAAATTACAAAAAATCAATTTTCTTTAATATTAAAAATATGAATTATTTAACAAATTTTTAAAAATATATTTACAGTTTTTATGGGGTTATTTAACGGATCAACATATATCATAATACATATTAATAGCGGGTTTTAAGATATATACCGGGTTGACTTAAATTTTTAATTAGTAAATTTTTAATTAAATCTTAACTAGATTATATAAAATTGCCGGATGTACCGGTTCAACTATGGATCTGGGTCGGATATGGAAACATTACGTGAAAATCAAATATTATAATAATTTTTTAAAAATTTTTGTGTTTGAGTAATTAATTTAAAGAAATTTTATCAAAATGATAAAAATATATCCGCGTTTTTAAAGCGCGGGTCAAAATCTAGTAAGATATTAAATCATTATGATAATCAGAATGCATTTTTCTCGTCGCAAATCATGGTTACGTATGTCTTGGAGTCCATAAATGTATATGCTACCACTCCTTTTGATGTCGAAAACAAATATACATGGCACCACTTATTATCTCTATACCTTTAGTACATTAAGCAAACGATAGGTCATTACGGAGGGTTGTATTCGTGCATATGGTCTGTGACATTTAATTTAATATATAAAAACGTCATGCTCGATTCAGGATTGTGTATACATATCTATGTGTGGCCCTTTGTCAAACGAGATGATTGCTTGTATTACAAATTAATGAATTTCTGATGGTAAAAAAATCACATTCAAATAAGGATTGGTGATCATCGAACGCATTGTCGGATAAAAACACAACTATGAGAAATCACTAATTAATTTAATGAAAGAAAACAAAAGTATGAAATCCAATAAGCAATGTGTAATTTGACATAAACCAATATTTTAAAAGTGATGAAATCTTATACATGTGCATGTGCATCTAGCCATGTACATATAGTATTTGGTAAATTGGTAGTAGGTAAGATGTCATAAGCAATGTCATACTGTAGTATATAAGATTTATATAATATTAATGATATTTAAAATATGTGAGCCGGAGTCATCTGATAGTATGTTGACATAAGATGCATGAATTTGTTGATTAACTTGAAAATATTTCATAAATAAATAGGAAATCATTCAAATCTGAAGTGGTTAGTTTGATTGGTTGTGTATAATGGAAATTATTTCATGATGATCAAATCCACCTCAAAATAGTGTATAATTTGTGTCAGAAGTACATTGTTGTGTTTAAAATATAAAAAATTGTGATTTGTAGGGATTATGTATATATATGTAGAAAAAAATGTGTTAAAAATAAAATTATGATTAGTAGGGATTGTATATATAAAAAAGAGAATTACGCTATCAAGACGGCTCTTTATGCCGGCTGCTCCGGTACAGCGAGCGCCTATAACGACTTCTAGTTGTTACCATTATTAGCTGTGAATAAAAAGTTAAACTATTAACACACTAGTTGTAGTTATTGATAACCATAGTTGACTATATATCCTCCTAAGTCCAGACCATTGTGGTCAGCAAAAGAAGAAAACAAAACCGAGAAAATTGTCTATCCAATTTTTAAAACGGTTGATTCCGTATTGTTTTATAACTTCTTGTTTTTAGTCATTGGCCAGTTAATGATTGGATTGAAATGCCCCACCAACTTCTTAGCCTAGGTTGAGTACATACAGTGGGTACGTGAGAAAGGAATTTTAGAGAAATATGTAATGGATTATTAACATATAAATTCAAATCTAGAACCTACTACAATCATAAGTCTGTATTTGTTATCGTTTCTACTGATATACTGAAATAGAAAAAGATAACACATCTTTTGTTTTCTTTATTTACAGTAACTCAAAAAGATTAAGATTGTACGTATTCGAGTTATAAACTAAATTTTAAATTTGCACAAACCAGGAACCATAAGAAAACTTCTTTTTCATATTCATCATCTAGTTTTCAAAGCCACTTGGACAAGTTTGGTGCCTTAAAAGAGTTTATTGCCAATACAGAGCTCAGTAACATAGGCTATTTGATGAGCATCTAAAGCTATATGTTTATAAATAGACACGGATGAAAATATCGTAAATACCTTGGTATATTTAACGTCCATATTTTATCCTTTAAATAGCATGGTAATCAAACGCTGATATATTCCTTTGTTTGCGTTTACTTGCCAAGTATAAATTACATTTGAAATTAAAAACGTTTTTTTCAATTCGCTTGTAGATACTTATGTTTGCGTTTACAAAAACTTCTAAAAGATGATGGTTGAATAGTATTTACCACACGTGCACCTAGATAAACAAGAAAACGAAAAGGCAAGGCATGTTACTGCAGTGTTAAGCAACAATAAAAGAGAAGATATGGTACTACAGTGGTATTATATCTATAAACCTACAACAATATTTTCCTTTTTCAACAATGAATTTTAATAGTGGAAAAAATTTGAGAGGGAACCAGTGACCTGAGGAAAATAAATCCAATACAAAGAATCTTGGTTCGGATCTTGGTTCAAATTCTATTGACCACATGGATATAAATTATTATTATCAACCCGGTTAAATATCCAGAAAAAAATTTACTGTGGGTTATATCTCTGTACGCGGATTAAGGTTGTCTGTTTAATAGATCTGAGTTTAATATTTTTTTTGCAAAAAAGAAAAAGAAATACGAGAGGGACAACAAAGTTAAAAAGGGATGATTTGAAACGGGCAAGTGTTCACAGGGGAAACAAGTGGAAGAAACATTGGACCATATTTTTCACATTGTCCATAGTCAAAGGTTTAGAGCTTCTCGAATTCTCTAATGGTCCCAATAAACTCAAGTGATCTACTCAAAGAAATCTGTGGACTACGGTGTTTTCCTTCCATGAATCGAGTGTGAAATTGCATTCCAACATGTATTGGCTACTTCTATATAGTTGACTCTACTTTGATTCTATATATGTATGTATTTGAATGTATGTATTTGTCTCTTGGCTAGGTTTTACTCCTAATTTTTGTCTTCATACATAATCAATCGGTCACTAAATATAACTAAATTAGAAGTTTTCTAATATACAATAAGGCGATCAAGGGAAAGTAGCGTACATCGTATTAATGCAAGCGTGGTTACAGCAAAACATATAATCAATCAAATCATATTCACATGACAAGTGATGGTTCAATGAATACAGACTGCCACTGTACGAACCACTATGATCGGACGCGATAATTACTAATTAGCAATGCCATCAACAAAACGTCAATTATGGAAGGTAAACTATCCTAACAAAACCAGGCCTCGTGGTCTGGTCTGGTGGTAAAGGAACCTCGGCTGAGGTGTCCGTCATCACGAGTTCGAGTCCCGGCCACAGCGGATTTAACATGGTTTCCGTTTGGTCTTCAGGACCCCTTCGGGGGATAGTCGGGTCTCTAAATAAGACCCGGACACCTGAATTATCAAAAAAAAAAAGAAAAAAAAAAAAAACTATCCTAACAAAGATGAGGCTTACGTACGCCTTTGACGTAAAACATTTTTGTCACGATTTCATTGGTTTACGTGTGTGTGCCCACTGTAAAGAAAGAAAACATATAAACATTTCGTAACAAGCTATCACCACTGCATCGCCTATGTACTACTATCGATCGCGAGTTCGTAGTTTCCGACTATTGTTATTTCATTCAAATTCTCCATGTGCCCCCAATATATTGATACACTTATTCATGCATAGTGCGACACGTTGTGACATATAAGAGCACGAATATTCATGGTTTCTTAATGTGGATTTACAACATATAAGAGCATGATTATTCATGGTTTCTTAATGCGGATTTTTTAAGTACTTTAAAAAACAATTTCTTAGCTTTTAAGTACTTTAAGAAACAATTTCTTAACTTTTTAGTTAAAAGTTAAGAAACAATTTTTATATTTCCCTAAAAAACCCATCTTTAAAATTCGGGATAATCATATATAGTCTAACTAAATATTAAATTGTAATCATAATTAGCTAAAAGTTCAAATGGAGAATGATGTTTTATGGAAATTTTTCCTTTTATAGTATTTGAATATAATATTATAGACATAGATTTCCAAATTGTAAGAAAAAATATTAAATATTTTACTAAATATTTATTGCCCCCAATATCTAATACGTTGCCAACCTATGTATTAGAATACCATGACATCCACTGTGTTCTAATACGGTGATGCATGCAACATATATGTCATTACTATTGTCTCGTAGAAACATTGCATGCTTCTTACTTAACATCACATATCAACTATGAATGAAATCTCATAGTTGATGGATACGGAAAGCAAATGCTGTGGTAAACAATCATGCCACCAAATCAATGCATTTCCAC